CTGGCATGAATTTGTGTGCTGGGACCAAGAGGCAGTAAGAGACAGAGGTAGGGGCAATGAGTAACAATTTACTGACTCCCACAGACACCCAAGAGCACATCCAACCCCAGTTGCCTTCTCTGTGCCCATGCTGAGTCTGGCTGTAACTGAGGCCCCAGCACTGTTGGCCAAGGTTTCCAAGCAGAACAGAAGCAACGAGTGCCCAAGGCTGCCATTTCCACCTGCAGGAGGAAGGCACAGTCTCCAGCCTTGAGGTAGGCCTGACCAGAAAAGAATCTCCCCAGGTCTTGCTTCTGAGTCACAGGAGTACACTTTGACCGCCATTAGTTTCCCACCCAAAGAGTTCACATCAGTGTGTGAGCTTGTGTGGATGTTTCAGGACAGAAGGCTCCTGTCAAAGCCAGAAGTCTCCAAGAAGCAGAGCAGAAAGAGCTTAGCTTTATTACTGGAGAGATTAAAGGTAGAACTTGCAAAATGGAGGGGAAAGGTCACTGGGCTCCATGGAATGGGGCTGTGTGGAACTTCAAAGGATCCTGGGGCTCCTAGTGCTCGGCAAAAGGCATGTCAGTGCCTAGCTCACCTGCACCCTCCTGTGCCTCTGGATAGGAATAATGCCACTCAGCACTAAGCTCTTCTAAAACTCCAAGAGATTCAGTCAACAATAAGAGGCTTTGGAAAACGAAACATGGAAGAATACAGTGAGTGAGTGGCATCCTAGAAAAACAACTCAGTGCCCACAATGGCCCAGCAGCCCTTTCTCTGCAGACTGCTGCAGCCAGGGGTCATCATTTTCAGGCTCTTTTCAAGCACCTGGTGGGCTGATTTTCAAAGGGTGATTTTTTAAAAAAAGCTTTATGATCTTTACTTTGTGTGTTGCAAAGACACACAAAATTGTGCTAACTTATCTTTTCCCTGCCCCTCTTTTTAAATATACACTTGTATTTCAATGCAATGAGCATAATCCTATATTTTCAAAGTATGCTTCTCCCTTTGTAAAATGACACTATTCAGAAAGTTCCACCAGATCCTGTCTTATCAATGGGAGTTCCCATTGTGGAGATGGCACTCAGGATTCATTCCTGCACCGAGCCATGGAGCTCTGTGGGGCTGGCCTGGGTCACTAGGCAGGTCCAGTGCACCATCTGTACTGACTGGAAAGTCTGGCTTCCCACACTCTGAAAATTCACCCTTGACATTCTCCTGGTGCCAGGCTAAGTCACTGTCACTCACACCTCTTGCTGTAATCTACAAGCCTCTAACACCAGTATCTCATCACATGCTGTGACACGATTAGGGAAAAATTGTCCCAAACCTTTTCTCTAGCATTTTATGGAAAGCTGAGAGGCAGGACAGTTGCTGGAGTGATGAGCACTCACCTTTGAAATAAAGCAAATTTTAACTCGAGACCAAGTTCCACCAGCTGTGAGACCTTGCTCACCTGTAGAACTATTTTCTTTCCTTGCATTTCTTAATCTGTAAAGTCAGGATAACAATAGCTATTTCCCATAGGTAGTGTAGTTCAGAAGATGGAAAAGGAACAGGTGCTACAGCATTACAGAATTACTCCACAAACTCAAGAAGGAGGAAGACAGACAGGTAGAGATAGAGACAGAGACAGAGCGAGGCAGCATCTCATCACTCCTCTCACTTTTCTATAGTTCTGAGACCTTGAAAACGAGCCTGAGTGCTGTCCTGTGTCCTAACACCCAGGTACCACGATTTCTCATGGAGGGTTAAAGTTTCTTCACTTTCTGTAAATGTGCATAATATGCATAGCTATATTTACAACTGCAAAGAAAAAATGAAATTATTTCATAAGCAAGTATGGGAGTATGAATAGTCTGTATTTTAAAACATATCAATTAGCAGAAGTTTTTGAGCATAAGAGAAAAATAGCTCCAGAGAGAAGAGTTGGAAAAATGGACTCAAATGAAGGAGTCCTTAGTAAGAGCAGCACACTCAGCTGAGGCCCCCAGAAGGTCCTGGAGTCCAGAGAGGGGCACATGGGAACTAGGGGCCCCAGCTTCAGCAGTCCTCTGCAGCTTCCAGCACAGGCATCTGGCCTTGCCTGCCTGAGGTGCACTCTCCTACCAGGGAGGCATAGCTATCACCATGCTGTGGGGAACTTACAGCTGTGAATGCTGCAAACCCCCAAAGCCGACCTCTGGGACCCTCACCCCCATTTCTCAAGGCCTGCAAAGTGCTAGGCAGCTCCCCATGGCCTGTCCTTCCAAACTGGCCACACAGGCACAGCCTGAATGCACATGTGGACTGTTCCTGGCATAGCAAACCTGCACACATGGCTTCGGGCACTGCCCACACCCTACCCAGTGCGACCCTCTTGTTATCCTGCTGTAAACTCTTCCTTGAAAGGACCTATCACTGGGTCCCCTTCCCCTTGAAAAGGCTATTTCTATGCCATTGAAGTGGGGTGGGGAGAAGAAAGAAGAAAGGAAACAGAAAGAAAGATGAGGAGAGAAGCTGAGGGAGGAGGACTGAAGGTTGGAGCCCAGCTCAGGCAGTTCAGCAACTTAACTAGGTCCTGATTCAAAATCAAAAATGTAAATGAGCTGAAGAGAGTGCTCAGGGTGAAGGCTGTGGGCTCTATCCCCAGTGCCTGGGTACCTGGAAGACAAGAGCAAAGGGAAGGGGGAAGGGAAGAGGAGGGAGGAGAAGGGGAAGGAGGCAGAACGAGACTGAAAAGAAGCTAATGAGGGAAACTCTTAGGCTGGTCCCTGTGGTTTCCTGGGCAATATTTGGAAACCATTGACTCCTAGGACAAGGTTGTTGTCCTTGGTTAAAATATATCTGCATGTTCCAGTTCAACCAAAGTCCGCTTTCTGTGTGTTTCCACCACTGCCACTGTGAGCTACACACTGAGACCCTGCCAAGAAAGAGAGAAAGAAAGAGTAAAGGAAAGGAAAAGAAAAGGAAAGGAAAGGAAAGGAAAGGAAAGGAAAGGAAAAAAGGAAAAGGAAAGCAAATCAGAATAAGAAAAAGAGCTACATAGGGACACTGGGGCTGTCTACCTAACCTGAGAGCTTGGAATGGCCTCAGCCACATGAGTGAGTGGGAAACACAAAGTGAAGACCCTAACTACATAACTGTACAAGCAACAATTGGCAATGCAGGTGGCCCATTAAACTTTGTTTCATATGAAATTGATTCTTTAAACATGAGATTAAATATGACAAAGGAATTACCATGTTTTTAACCTTTTCCAAAAGTTGCTTACAGAAAAATGAACGGAAGTGCACAGTTCAATGAGTCGTTCCCTGAGCTAAACACACTTGTATGACCAGGGTGAGATAAGAAAACAGAAGTCATCCTAAAGGCTTCCTGTGGTGGTGCATCCAGGCCCAGTGTCAAACGGTGCACTCTCTGGCACCAGGACATTTAGAACACTCACTAAGAGTAGGTCATTCTGCTGGTTTATATTCTTGTTCTCTTCACACGATATTGCATACGTGATTCTCACTGCTGTGCAGCATGTTGTGAATTTTGCACAATTTGTTTATCTTTCTCCTATTATGGGGTTGTTTGCATTTTTCTAGTTTAAGGAATTCTATAACCAGTATTGCTGTGATTACTCCAGGACAGGTCTGGGGAGCAGAAATATACATTCTTTGTTGTGTGTGTGTGAAACAGGGTCTCACTGTAGTTCAGACTGGCCTTCAATTCACTATGTAGCCCAGGCTGGCCTTGAACTCACAGTGATCTTCCTACCTCAGCTCCCAGAGTAACAGAATGAAAGGTATGCATCACAATGCCGGGCAGAAATATATACTCCAAAGAGAGACACAGCTATGCAACTAGAGCCTCAGGAAATATACATCTACATAGATACATAATTCATATAATATGTGTGTGTGTGTGTGTGTGTGTGTGTGCATATTTGTGTAGTTTTACCAGTTATACTCAAATACCAAAGTGGTTGCATGGTTTTATATACCCGCCATCAGGGTGTGGGTGTCCTAACTGTTCCCCATATTTGTCATCACTCAATGATTTCTGCATTTTCCAGTTTAGCCTCTCTGCTGCTTATGTAGTGACACAGTGGCTTTTTGCTGTAATGTCAGTTTGCATCTCCATCTTAACTACTGAAGTGAAATTGCTGTCTTCTGTTGTGAAGTATTGTTTTCTACCTTTTGTCATTTTGGGTTGGGGAGTCCTCTGGGGTGTTTTTGTTTGACTTGTGTAAGTTCTTTATGTATTCCAAATATGAGTCTTTTCTCAGCTATGTAGATAAAAACTGACTACAAAGTGTAAATATCTTTTTCCACATTCAAGCAAACTTTTAGCTCTCTTAATGATGTCTTTTGTAAATTCCTAAAACACTGAAAGTTATGCATCATTTTTATTATGTTAAGTATCAGATTTTACAACTGAGTAGGTTCCCAGGTGCATGCCCATGTCTCAGTGACTTCCATGGTAGAATCTGTCTGCTTGGATGACTGGATCAAAGTCCATCACGATCTTTCTCGAAACAGCAGTACCCTCATTGTGAGTACCGGGAGGTAGGGAGCAGCTGAAGCTGGAGATCAATCTCGCATGTCAGGCTAAAGCAAGCCAGCCCTAAGAACACAGAGAGCCCAAAGTGAACCAGTTATCCCAGTTGTTTCAGCTGGAGAGGCAAGGGGCCCAGGCCGGCCAGGCAAACCAGCTGCCTGGTAGCAGAGATGAAATTAACATCAGCCTCACGAGTGTACAAATAAACGTGCAAAGTGGTGAAGCAGTTCCTTTCTCCTATCAGGAAAGAGGGGTCCACCCAACCTCAGCTTTTCTCTCTTTGCTTTATTTTCCCATCTTCTCACCACTCTTCTCCTGGGAATTTCAAGAACTGTGCTGGTCCAAAGCACAGTGTATGTTCTTTCGGAACTTTCACCTAAAGCCTAAGCCAAAACCTAAAGAAATAAATGAACTGGATGTTAGAGCTCAACATTTAGTCACTGTGCTATTATTTCTTCCAGAGATGTCCTCTAAACTGGCTCTGTGATTCAATGGATCTGGGAAATCACACTAGAGTGAAAGAAATCATTTTTCTGGGAATCACTCAGTCCCAAGAGCTCAGCTGGGTCTTATTTGTCTTCTTGGTTCTGGTGTACCTGGCAACTCTGCTGGGAAACCTTCTCATCATGGTGACAGTGACCTGGGACTCCCACCTTCACACCCCCATGTACTTCCTACTCCGAAATCTCTCCATTCTCGACATCTGCTTCTCCTCCATCACCACACCCAAGGTCCTGATCGATCTTCTAGCCAAAAGGAAGACCATCTCCTTTGATGGCTGCATCACCCAGATGTTCTTCTTCCACCTCCTGGGAGGAGCAGATGTTTTTTCTCTGTCCGTGATGGCCTTGGATCGCTACATAGCCATCTCCCGGCCCCTGCATTACGTAACAATCATGAGCAGGGGGCGGTGCAGTGCTCTCATCACTGCTGCCTGGCTGGGGGGCTTTGTCCACTCTATTGTACAGATCGCCCTCTTGCTCCCGCTCCCCTTCTGTGGGCCCAATGTTATTGACACTTTCTACTGTGACGTCCCACAAGTCCTCAATCTGGCCTGCACTGACACCGTTGCCCTGGAGATCCTCATGATTTCCAACAATGGCTTAGTCAGTTGGTTTATATTTTTCTTTCTCCTCATATCTTACACGGTCATTCTGATGATGCTGAGGTCACACACAGGTGAAGGGAAAAGGAAAGCCATCTCCACCTGCACCTCTCACATCACTGTGGTCACCCTGCACTTTGTGCCCTGCATCTATGTCTATGCCCGCCCCTTCACTGCCCTTCCTGCAGACAAACCCATCCATGTCACCTTCACCGTGATCTCCCCTCTCCTCAACCCTTTGATCTACACCCTGCGCAACAAGGAGATGAAGTCAGCCATGCAGAAGCTAAAGAAACAACTGAGTCCTTCACAAAGGATTTAAATTGGACTAGGACAAAACAGTCTCAAAATTTAAGGATGGACATTAAGTTTCACTTTCTCAAGATGGAAAGAATCACATTCCTGTCAAAAGCACAGGGGTCTCTATGGCTACCAGGGAGTCCTAGAAGTGCATCCTACACCTCATTCCAGGGTCTTTGTGCTGTAGAGAGAAACCCATTCATGTTTTCCACTACCTACTTTCAATTATTCACCTCACACATATTTACAAAGCACATAACTGTGTGCCTGACAAAACTGGTGGTTCATATTGCTGCACAAGCATGAAATGCACTGTCCTAAGGGCACTATTCAAAGTGCAAAAGTAAAGACAAAAGGTACGGGTCAAACAATGGCTGCACTTGTTTCCAACAGTATCCCACAGTGTGTGGACCTGTTGAAAGAGAGAAGGGCAGAGAGGCACAATCCAAGGAAACAAAGCTGTAGGCACAGAGCCAGGGAAGCCATGTAAGTGTGTCACACAAGTGTTAGCTTGAACTTCACAAGGCCACTAAGTGATATGCACATGGGATGCACACAGGGCACTGACAGGTAAAAACTCAGGGAAAAGAATTCCATGGGTAGCCCCTGAGCGATGCAAATCTTTTCTTCCTTTTGGAGTCAGAGAACCCTTCTGCAGATGACTTGAAGACCATGATTTCCCTCTGGGAAAAGGAGGTGATGCTGTCCATGGGCGTTTTCATAGAGAAATAGCGCCAGTGAGAATGCTAGTGGGCAGCTTGCCCAGATCTGAAAAACTTGGTAAGGACAGTTGTGGGAAGCAACTAACTCTCTTTTCCCCAGCAGGTAGTCCCATCCCAGCCCAGCTGAGCCCAGCTTTCCCAGGGCACCTATAGATAGGGCATCAGCGTCCTTTGTACTTTCCACTCAGTTCCTTCTCAGGTGGAAAAGGGGTAGTAAAAAGGGTGTGTAATCATCAACAGAAACTTGGTCAATCTCTAGTGAAAGGGTTGGGAATGGTGTTGGAGAAGGTTATCTGGCAATCCAGCTTATATTGAACCCAGATTATTGGATTGTGTTTCCCATTAAGGTACATATCAAGCCAAATCTGTTGGCTTTCATGTATTAAGCAGAGTATGTCCAGTACTGAAGCAGAAACAGCCAAATTGTGAGTGGCAAACCCAAGAGAAATTTATTTCTCACTTGCACCATGAGGCAGTGCTGTTCTGCAGGATGAGAAGGCTCTCAGCTCTCCAAGCCATGGAGGAGGGACTGGGGTTAGTAATGAGAGCTCAAGAGCCAGCAAGAGAGGGGAAGGTGTGGGACCGCATCCCATTCACTGGCTCTCAATCACGTGGCCTCACCTATAGAGAGAAAGCCGGGAGTCGGTAACCAAGCTGTGTTTGTAAAGTGAACAGGGAACGTGGTGCCTTCTGGGATTCCTTCCACAGGTATGACTCCATCAGAGAGGTGTCAAGCAGCATAGGAGGATTTATTTTTAGTATTGGTAATCAAACAAGAGACTCGTGCATGCTGGATAGGACTCCATCACTGAGCTACATCCCCAGCATTTTTTTTCTGTGAGATATTCTCATACTTACATGCCCAGATTGGAAATCCTGCCTGAGCCTCTCAAGTAGCTGAGACTCCACTATGCCGGGATGTTGTTAACGCATAGCTTTGTATCCCGGAAGAACACCTGGACGCCTGGGAATATACAGACCCAAGCCAAAATGATTGTGAAAGGGAGAAAAATATAATTTAAAGGAAGGGGAGGTGGCCAAAGCCCACTCAGGGATTAGGATAACAGTAGACAATGTCCAAGCCCCAAGGAGACAGAACTGTGGAGTGGGGTTCTGCACAAAAGATCGGTCCAGAGGAGGGCACAAAGAGAAACTGAAAGTTTATGAGTGCAGGGACCCTTCAGAAATGAGGGTCTTTCCCAAATCATCAGACCCCTCGTGGCCCAGGGGCTCACATGTCTTTGTGACTATGACAAGACACTTGAACTTTTGGAACTTGAGACCCTAAGACCCCAAGGCAGCAAGGAGCAGTGATGATTCCATCAATGTCTGAGTATGCAGAGCTCATGTGGACTGAGCAGATGGCCACTGGGAAGTTGTGAGAGACCCTGAATCCTGGCTGCAGCCAGACAGTCACCCTGAAATGACAAGCCAGAGGAAAGTAATGCAAAAGACAAAGTCACAAAACATTGTCCTAGAGAGCTCTACAGTTTCATTATTGTTGTTGCATTACCTGCCTTTTAAGTAGGTAAGAAAATGTAGTATATATAGGTTACATCCAATAAAATAGACTGTTAGTTCAATCCTGGATCAGTAATCCTCTGCTGTGTGATCTACTACCCTAAACTTTAGTGGCTGAAAACCATGCACATTAGTCCCAGTTGGCATGGGTCATTAATGTGGACATGGCTTAGCTCGGTTGTCTGCTGCAGGGTCTCTAACAGGACTGCTGGGAGCTGGGGTCTGCACTGTCACCCTAAGCTTCAGGTGGGAAAGGTCCTTTCCAGGTGTCTGCACATGAATGGACTCAACCTGTCATTCAGCAATAAGCCTCTAGTGCTTCATTAAAACAGAAACACTAAATCTATAGGAAGAAAAATTGGGTAAAAAGCTGGAAGACATAGAGGTAGGTAGAGAATTCATCAACAGGACTCAAAACACATGGGAAATACTTCCCAGAATCAATAACTGGGATCACCTCTTACTAAAAAATTTCTGCACGACAAAAGAAATCTCCAGCATAGTGAAAAGAAAACCCACAAACTTGGAAAAAATCTTATTGAACTCTTGCTCAAACAAAGGACTCCTGTCTAAAACATATAAAGAATTTTAAAAAATCAGATCCGCAAAATTCAAAAATCCAATCCAAAAATGTGCATCTGAGATGAATACACACTTCTCAGATGAAGAAATACAAATGGCAAATAAATACATGAAAAAATGTTCATCATCATTACTCATTAGAGAAATGCAAATTAAAACCACACTGAGGTATTCTATCTCACTCCTGAAAGAATGGCCAGGATCAAGAAAACCAACAACAACAAATGCTGGGGAGACTGTGGGGGGAAAAGGAACTCTCCTACACTATTGGTGAGAGTGTAGACTGGTGCAACCATTGTGGAGGTCAGTCTGGAGATTTCTCAAAAAGCTGGGATTGGAAGTCCCATTTGTTCCAGCTATTCCACTTTTAGGCATATTCCCAGGAGAATTAAAAACATCATACCACAGTAATACATGTGCACCCATGTTTATAGCAACACAATTTGTAATATCGAGATCTTGGAAACAACCTAAGTGCCCATCAAGTGAGGCATGGATAAAAAAAGTTGTGTATTTTTATACAAAGTGGTACTACTCAGCTATAAAGAATGATCATATTGAGATATTTATAAATAAGTCGGCGCAGCTTGAGACCATACTCATAAGTGAAATAAAAGCTCAAATGTATGAATACTGAATAGTTTCCCTAGTGTAAGAAATGATATAAATACCTAAAAGTATATGGTTATCGTGATACCCTATTATATAGCCTTGAAGCCTTATAAAGTTTCCACACATTAGTTGGAATGGTTTTATTCTGGGCTGTTTGATATTACGGTCTGCGATGATATGAACAACTATTTTAAGAAAACAAGACATCATAATAGCTAGTGCTGATTTAATATCATCTTGTTTTGAAGTCCCATTAAACTGTTGTTCTTCTGTCTCCATTGTTTTTATCATGTTGTATCTTATTAGATTTTATTATATGTGATAGTATAAACAAAAATTTTTATAGGCAAAGAGATAATTTAGAAACCGTTGTTCATTTTATGTTAGCTGGTTCTAAATACCTGTTAATACTTTCATCCTCTTGAATGGTTTCACACTGTCTTGATATGTTTGATGCTATAGTATACGAAGTTATACTCAAATATTTCAAGGAAAGAGACAATATGGAAACTACTATTAAGTCAGGTTATCTTGTGTTCAAGAACTATGTTGCTCAAATTGTTCTGTTCTTATCTGTATTGTTATGTTGCTTTATCCTCTTTTATCTCAATCTCCCCCCTTTTAAAAATTTATTTATCTATTTATTTTTTAATTAAGAGAATTTTTTTTAAAAATTAGCAGAATATATTATAGCAACTTTTTTTGATTTCCTATTATTTTGATTTGAAGTCCTGTATTGCTCCCACTATCTTGTTTTGACTGCTTAGACTCTGTTCCGCTCTGTTTGATAGTATCAAGTCTGAGGATACAGGCAACTACTTTGAAGGCAATAAGATTCACTATGATGCCCATTCTAGTTTGACTATTATCTTCTTTTGAAGTCCTGTAATATTTACAATGTTTAGGTTTTATTGGTCTGGTTCTCTGCTGTTTTGTCCAACTTAATTATGCCTAATGATATAGGCAATTCCTTTTAAGGAATCAAGTGGCATTATGGTAACCACTGTTGATAACCTTGTACTCTGTTTTTACATCATGTACTATGTCTATGCTTGGTTTTGACTGACAGCTTTGCTTTGTAATATTTGGTTTTATTTTCTTCCAAAAAAGTAATAAGAACTATGGGAGTAATAAAACCCAAAATGTGTAAATTTTGTTGCAAAAAAAAGAGAGGAAAAAAAGTGCTCTAAAGGATACAACTGCAAATGTATTTAGGTGTGTTAGGATAGGTGACCATATTATGGAGTTTTTGTTGGATCACTGAACACAACTGTTTGCATTCTCACTGTTTGAATTTCCACTTTGTATGCTTTGATCCTGTGACTTGAGCAACTATTTCTAAGACGACAATGTGTAATCTATTAACTGGTGATTTCTGTTTATTTTTTTTTGTAGTGCTGTATTACTTGTTCCATTACACTGTTTTGTCTTGTTTTGATTTGTTTTTTCTTTTTTTTCCTTTTAAATAAAAATAACAATAAAAATAAATAAATTTAAAAAACAAAGGAGACTGAGATATAAGAGGACATAACAACAATACAAGTCAGAACAGAAAAATTTAAGCAACATAGTGCTTCACCACAAG